GATTATGCTTTGTGTGTCAGTCTGTTTCACTATCAGGCTTTCCTAATTAATATGTGATCAGTACAAAATTTGCTTTCATGCAACTTCCACGTAACAGTCTGAGCAGCTGCATGTGACTATACAAATGGTATCTGTAGAGACCAATTATTTTTGCTTTCATTTTTTCCTGCATTTTTAACTGTATAAAATGCATATCTTGATTTAGCAGACACTTATTTTAAAATCTCACCATCCTGATTACCTTACTTTTGGAAAAAAAACATACTTTGTCATGTCAGTTACCTTCAAAATGTGTCATCTGAAACCGATCATCAGATGTAAATGTGAAAGGGCTCATTCATTCCTTAAAAATCGTCCTTTTCTTATATCAATGGAACCAAAGATGGAGTTAGCTTTTTTATAATAGCTATGTTATACTACTGGCAATTATTGAATGTGAGGTCAACTAAATCCATTAGTGTTTTTCAGAGGACCAGCATTAAAGCCTTACTCTACTTAATATAATTGAAAAGTACACTGCTTTATAATGATTCTTTTACATTTATCTTCCTTGTTTTGGGCCTTATAAGGCATATTGAATTCCTTATGTACAAGTAAGAAAAAGATTAAGAATCTCATGAGTACTCTCAACCCTCTCAATAGTCCCACAATTTCCAAACCAAGTCATTGGAAGGCATAGTTATTTAACACAGACACAGATGTTACTAAAAAGCTGTAGTAAGAAATGTCAGACAGAGAAAAACAAATGCCATATAATTTCACTTATACATGGAATATAAAAACAAAGTAAACAAATAAAACAGAAACAAACTCATAGATACAGAGAACATATTGATGGTTGCCAGATGTGAGAGTAGTTCAGGGAATATATGAAAAAGAAAAAGTGATTAAGATGTACAAATGGCCAGGTACAAAATAGTCATGGGCATGTAGTATATAGCACAAGGAACATAATCAATAATATTGTATTAACTATGTATAGTGTTGGATGGATACTAGAATTATCGGGGGATCACTTTGTAAGTTTTATAATAATGTCTAAAAACTATACTGTACACCTGAAACTAATGTCATACTGTATGTTTAAGATGGCAGAGGAGTAAGTGGAAGCTCAGTAACCTCCTCCCAGGACCAAACTGGAATTACAACTAAATGAAAGGAAAATCATCCTGAATAACCAATTGAATACTACCTAGAGAGAAGCCTTAAAAAAAAGGACATACAGAAGAAACCACATCACCACAATGAAACTGATAGGGTGTGAGAAGGCATGAGAGGGCTGCCTGGGTTACCACAGGTGGTGCCTGTGTACTGGAGGGATATTTCAGCAGCCAGGGGGTCCCCAGGAGAGGTGTGGGGTCTAAATAACGAGTGTCACCAGAGACTCCAGAGCACCAGATTGGGAAAGGACACCCAAATTACATATGAAAAGTGGCAGGGTTTCTGTCCACCAGGGAGAGATGACTAGAGATGCAGATAGCCTCTTAAAGCACCAATACGCAAAATTTCATTTGCAGCCACTTACCCAGGGCTCTGCTAGAGGGAGGGCAAAGTGGACTAGAGATGCTTGAGGAGAGACTGGAGTTGGTTGCTCTGGAGAGAGAGCTGAAGAAACAGCTGCCAGGATCCCTGTGCTGAAACATTCCCAATACTGCAGAAACCATATCTTTCAGGCAGAGTACTCCTTTCCAAGTGGCAGCAGAGGGGAAGCAATAGCCCCACCCACAGAATGCCTCTTACCTTACCCTGTGGAGCTTAAGCCAGGTTGCTGAGTATGGCTGGAGGTTCTTTCAGTGATTAAGCCTAACAGCAAAGGCAGATCTCTGGGAGCACTGAGGCTTTAGCTGACCCTCCCCAAGGCCTGGTACAAGTAAAATTCTGCCCTGGTGCACAGCCTGGTTATTTCTGCACACACCAAGGCACACTAGAGGAAGCTACAAGCTGTGAATTGCTAATAGCTCCACACAGGTTGCCCAGAGCCAGGCACAGGCAGCATTTGACATAGGTCTACACTAGAATCTTTGCAGGTCTACTTAATACACAGAAGAAGCGCAAAGAGCCAGCCAAAGTGAAAAGACAAAGAAACAGGCCCCAAATAAAAGAACAAGAGAAACCTCTAGAAGAACTAAATGAAAGGGAGGCAAGCAATTTACCAGATATAGCATTTAGAGTAATGATTATAAGGATACTCAACAGCATGAAAAAAGACGTACAAACTATAAAAAAGGACCAGCCAGAAATAAAGAATGCAATATCTGAAATAGTACACTACAAGGAATAAAGAGTAGGTTAGGTGAAGCAGAGGATCAAATAAGTGATTTGGAAGACAAGGTAGAAAAAACAGCCAAGCACAGAGGCAAAAGAGAAAAACATTTTTAAAAATGAGGAGAGCTTTAGAAACATCTGGGATAACATGAAGTATAACAATACCCACATCATGACAATACCAGAAGAAGAGACTGAGCAAGGGATAGAGAATGTACTTGAAGAAATAATGACTGAAAACTGCTCTAATATGATGAAGGAAAAAGACATACAAATCCAGGAAACACAGAGCTAGTCCCAAACAAGAGGGATTCAAAGAGCCACAAGACACATCATAATTAACAGTAGGCTATCATTTATTATTGAAGGAGAAATAAAGAGCTTCCCAGACAAGAAAAACATAATGGAGTTTGTTAACGCCAAACCAGTACTGCAATAAATGTTAAAGGGATTGCTTTAAGAAGCGAAAGAAGAAAAAAAAACCCAGAAGAAAATAGTCTAACAATAAACTACACACCATCTATCAATAATCACCTTCAATGTAAAAGGCTTCAATGCTCCAACCAAAAGACATGGGTAATTGAATGGAACAGGACCCATGTATATATTGTCTCCAAGAGACTCATTTGAGATCAAAAGATACACACAGACTAAAAGTAAAGGGATAGAAAAAGATATTTAATACAAATGGAATGGAAAAAAAAAGCTGAGGGAGCAATATTTACATCTGACAAAATAGATGTTAAGGCCAAGGCTATAGTAAGAGACACAGAAGGACACTACATAATGATAAAGGGAACAATTCAACAAGATGATATAACCTTAGTTCACACTTACACACCCAACACAGAGGCACCTAAAGATGTAAAGCAAATCCTGATGGTCATAAAAGGAGAGATTGACAGAGCTATAGTCATAGTAGGGGATTTTAACACTCCACTGACTTCAGTGGATAGATGTTCCAGACAGAATATCAACAAGGAGACAGAGGCTTTCAATGACACACTAGATCAAGTGCATTTAATTGATATATGCAGAGCACTTCACCCCAAAACAGTATACATACTTTTTAAGTACACCTGGAACATTTTCTAGGATAGACCACATACTAGCCAGTCTCAATAAATTTAAGAAGATTGAATCACATTAAGCATCTTCTCTGACCACAATGTTATGAAACTAGATCTCAACCATAAGAACACTGAAAAACATGGAAAGACATGGAAGCTAACTACCATGTTATTATTAAACAATGAATGGGTCAACAATGAGATCAAGAAAGAAATCAAAGATACCTTGAAACAAATGAAAATGAGAACACAACAATCCAAAATCTGTGAGACACTGGGAAAGCAATCCTGAGAAGGAATATCATAGCTTTACAACCCTATCTCTAGAAACAAGATAAAACTCAAATAACTAATCTATCTTTATATTTAAATGAACTTGAAAAAGAACAACAAAACCCAAAATAAGTAAGGAAGAAAATAATAAAGATCAGAACAGAAATAAGCAAAATAGAGTCTACAAAATGATACAAAATATCAATGAATCCAAGAGCTGTTTTTTTTTTAAAAAGGTAAACAAGATTGACAAACCTTTAACCAGACTCATCAAGAAGAGAAAGGACCCAAGTAAATAAAATCAGAAATGTAAGAGGAGAAATAACAACAGACACCAAACAAATACAAAGAATTGTAAAAAAAATATTATGAACAACTATATGTCAAAAATAGGGCAACCTGGATGAAATGGATAATTTCCTAGAAATATACAATCTTCTAAAACCAAATCAGGAAGAATCAGAGAATCTGAATAGACAGGTTGCAACTAATAAAATTGAAGCAGTAATGAAAAAAATTCCCAAAAGACAAAAGCCCTGGAACAAATGGCTTCAAAAGTGAATTTTACCAAACATTCTGAGAAGAACTAACTTCACTTCTCAAACTATTTCAAGGAATTCAAGAGGGAAGGCCCCCAAGTTCACTTTATGAGGCCAGCATTATCTTAATTCCAAAACCAGATAAAGATACTACAAAAAAAGAAAACTATTGGCCAATATCCTTGATGAACATAGATGCTAATATCCTCAACAAAATATTAGCAAATCGAACACTGCAATACATCAAGAAAATCATACACCATGATCAAGTAGGATTTATTCTGGGAATGCAAGGTTGATATGATATTCTCAAATCAATCAATGTGATATACCACATAAACAAAATGAAAGATAAAAACCACATGATTATATCCATAAATGTAAAAGAGCATTTGATTAAATTTAGCACATATTTATGATAAAAACCCTCAGCAAAATGGAAATAGAGGGAATGTACCTAAGCATAATAAAGTCCATAAGTGACAAACCCACTGCCAACACTATACTCAAGGGACAAAAACTACAAGGATTCCCCTTAAGATTGGCAACATGACAAGGATGTCCACCTAACCTCTCTTATTCAACACAGTACAGGAAGTCTTAGCCAGAGCAATGAGACAAGAAGAAATAAGAGCCATCCAAATTGGAAAGGAAGTAAAACTGTCTTTATTTGCAGATGACATAATAACTGTACATAGAAAACCCCAAAGATTCTACCAAGAGAGTAATAGAACTGATAAATGAAGTCACCAAAGTAGCAGGATATAAAATTAATATCTAGAAATCAGTTGCATTTTTATATGCCCATAATGAACTGTCAGAAAGGGAAATTAAGAAAACAACCCCAGCTGTCATGGTGGGCTTGCTGAAGAAGACTACTGGCCTTGTGGGGTTGGTGGTGTGTGAAAGTCTGCACGAGAGGCTAAGAATATTGTACACAAAAATTCTTGATGTTCTTGAGCAAATCCCTAAAAATGCAGCATATAGAAAGTACACAGAACATATTATAAATGAGAATCTGGATATGGTTAAAGCAGAACCAGATGTTAAAAAATTAGAAGACCAACTTCAGGGTGGCCAAATAGAAGAGGTGATTCTTCAAACTGAAAATGAATTAAGTCTGGCCAGAAAAATGATGCGATGGAAACCATGGGAGCCATTAGTGGAAGAGGCTCCTGACAACCAATGGAAATGGTCAACATAATCATCATCAAATGACTTGTGAGTTGAAGGGAAACTGATGTAATTAAATGTTCTGTTATATAAAAAATATGCCCATATTATTGACATCTAATAATCAAGAAAACTGATGCAGAATATATTTAGGAGACTTGTTAAAACTGATGATGATGATAATAGGGACTTATGGGTTAGTTTTTGTTAAAGCATTCATTAAAATTATTTGAAAGATTGATATTTTATAAAATAGAGTTTCTATAAGGTTTGAAAATTAATTGAAAAAATTTCTATGTTTCAAAGCACAGGCCATATATTTGATAGGTGAAATATTTTTGGTAGTATCTCTGACACATTTGATTTTTTATTTATTCTGACAAAACCAGGAAGAAATTTATTATTGCTTAAACAAATGTATAGGTCACTGTTTGAAGTGAAGTAAGAGAAAAACCATTAAATTATAATTCATTGTACAGTTGAGGAAATTGATTTTGTATTTGAAAGAAAGATTTCTTATTTACAGTGGTAGTTGGAAAACTTAAACTTTTGTTGCATTTAAGGAAGTTAACTTTCTGGCCCTTAATCAAACTACACCAGGAGAGAGAATTTCTGTAAAAGAAGAGATGATAAGAATTCCTAAAGTTTATCTGGCATATGGATAGGCTTTTATTCAAAACATCTTAGTTGTATGGTTATAACTTCCAGGTGGAGCCACTAAGTAGTTTTTACTGTTTCCAATGAGTGTAGCTGGGTATCAAGATAAAGAAAGAAAGAAAACAAGGAAAGAAACAATTGACAAGTTTAAGGTTAAACAAAAATAAAATTACTTCTCAGGTGAAAAAAAAAAAAAGAAAACAATCCCATTCATGATTGCTTCAAAAACAATAAAATACCTAGGAATAACCTAATCAAGGATGTAAAAGACATGTACTTGAAAAATTATAAGACACTGAAGAAAGAAACTGAAGAAGATGCAAATAAGTGGAGGCATATACTGTGTTCATGGATAGGAAGAATTAACATCATTAAAATGTCCATATTACCCAAAGCAATCCATATATTCAATGCAATTCCTATCAAGATTCCAATGACATATTTCACAGCACTAGAACAAATATTTCAAAATTTTACATGGAACCACAAAAGGCCTCACATAGAAATAGCTATCCTGAGAAAGCAGAACAAAGTTAGGGGAATCACGCTACCTAATATCAAACTATAACTTAAGGCCATAGTAATCAAAACATCCTGGTACTGGCATAAAAACAGACACATAGATCAATGGAATGGAATAGAAAGCCTAGAAATAAACTCACAACTTTATATAGTCAATTAATCTTCAACAGAGGAAGCAAGCACTTTAATGGGCTAAAGGTATTTTATTTAATGAATGGTGTTGGGAAAACTGGACAGATATAGGCAGAAAAATGAAACTAGACCACCTTCTTACACCACACACAATAACAAATTCAAATGGGCTAAAGACTTAAATTTTAAACTTGAAACCATAAGCCCTAGAAGAAAACACAGGCAGTAAAATCTCAGACATCACCTGTAGCAATAATTTTTAATGATATATCTCCTTAGGCAAGGGAAATAAAATAAATAAGTGGAACTACATCAAACTAAAAAGTTTTTGTGGAGCAAGGGAGATCATCAACAAAATAAAAAGACAACCCATTGAACGGGAAAACATATTCACCCATATATTTGATAAGGGGTTAACATCCAAAATTTATAAAGAAGTTATAAAACTCCACACCAGAAAAAACAAACAATCCAATTAAACAATGGGCAAAGGACCAGAATAGACACTTCTCCAAAGAGGACATACAGATGGTCAATAGACATATGAAAAGATGCTCAACATCACTAATCATCAGAAATGTAAATTAAAACTGCAATGAGATATCACCTCATGCCTGTCAGAATGACTAGTGTCAATAAATCAACAAACAACAAGGGCTGGAGAGAACGTTAAAAAAAAAAAAGAGGAATCCTCATGTACTGTTGGTGGGAATGCAGATTTGTGCAGGTACTGTGGAAAACAGTATGGAGATACCTCAAAAAATTAAAAGTGGATCTGCCTTTTGACCCAGTGACTCCACTTTTGGGAATATATCCTCAGAAACCCAAAACCTAGTTCAAAAGAACATTAGCACTCCTATGTTCATAGCAGCATTTATTTACAATCACCAAGATTTAAAAACAGCCCAAGTGTCCATCAGTAGATGAATGGATAAAACAACTGTGGGATGTTTACACAATGGAATACTATTCAGTCATAAAAAAGAAGAAAATTGTATAGTTTGGGACGACATGGATAGACCTGGAAAACATTGCTAAGTAAAACAAGCCAGTCAGAAAAAGACAAATACCATATGATTTCATTCATATGTGGAATCTAATGAACACACTGAACTAATAAGTAAAACAGAGACAGACTCCTAGAGGGCAGAATTACAACTATTGGGAGGGATTCAGGGTGGTAGGATTGAGCAAAAAGGAAAAAAGTCTCATGGACATGGACAACAGTGTATTGATGGGGGGTGGTGTAAGGGGAATAAATGGTAATGAAAAAATACAGTAAAAATACTGTATGTCAACTATAATTGAAAAAATATTTAAAAGAGTTTGGAATTATTCTTATGAAGAAATTTGTTTTTTTGCCTTATACTTAACTCGGCAGTATCATATATAGTGGCATAATATAATATATATGGATTTTGTTATGAAGATGTGGACACAAAGTAGACTTTTACCTAACATAATAAAAGGACATGAGCTTTGGAGTCAGACAGACATGGATCAAATTTTGACTTTGCACATATAAGCAGAGTGATATTGAACAACTTACATAACATCACTGAATGGAGCTCCTTATTTGTGAAGTAAGAAAAATAATAATTACTTCTGTAGTGTTTGTGAGGACTGGTAAACTAGAGATGAAAAATGTGTAGCATAGTATTTGGCACATAGTAGCTGATTTGAACAAGCAAATGAGAAAGATATCACACCAGGAAAGCTTGTCTCTCTTGAGCCAGCTATACAAGAACATGAAGGAATCGTAAAATAAAAAATATACATAAGACTTAAAATCTGTAAACCAGAAGGCTAGGAACCATGTGAGGTATCATTTATTATGATTAAATTCTGTTACCTGGATAAGGCCTTATATTAGCGTGACTGTTGTGTAAACCCAATAAGAATTAAAATAGCAGCATAAAATAAAATCAGAAAACAGAAAAAAGGGAGCAACTAAGGGATTAGTGTTTAAGGTGACACAGGCATTAATCAGAACCATATAGATTTTCGGTTCAAGAAAGCTTCTACTTTAGATAAATTGCCAAGATGAAAAGGATAGCGTGCATATATGCATAAAATGCTGACTGAGGAAAAACGTAAACCAGATCAAAATAACTTTATAGTGTTGTAAACAGAAAGTGGCAGTAGAGGATATTGAAAAAACTGCTGGCGTGCTACACATTGTGGGGGTGGTTCCGACTCCCCGGCTTCTTTGCATGCAAGTTTCATTGACCTTCTACATTACACATTGACCTTGATGCTTATAAATGCTGCAGGGCTTGGCAATTAGTCTTTTGTGAACAGAGAATTCATTTGTTTGTAAATTCTTAATGTTTGATCTCAGTTAAGAGATATTTATTGAGACCAAACATTAAAGCTGCATTGTGCCTGAAAGAACCATTTACAAGGGTAACAAGAAAGTAGGTATTATGAATATTGGGTTGATGGCTACCAGACTGAAAATTAAAAGCATTCCTTGGAATAACCATCCTATGTTATATTATGTGCACCACCACCACCACCAACCAAAAGGGGACACTAAAAGATTAAGTTCATAGTGAGTCAGAGTGACAGACGAATTGGGGTCTAACATGTATCTGCATGGGGTGTAAAACAGAGGAAAAGTTACTGAGTTTCTAGGCTGATCTTCTTTTGGTCTCAGGGAAATAAGATTTATGACCTACATGTACTTTTTGTTCTTTGAAGGTTACGCGATAACAAAATAATAATAAAAATGGCGCTTGAGATCATAGTGTAGAAGCCAGGTCACTGAGAGTGACTTTTGTAAAAGTACAAGAATTCAGCTTGCAAATCATCTTCAGAATCTACCAATTAGCACTTAAATTTGGGAGAAATTACCTGACATTCAATTGTTTCAAGAGAAGGTTTTTGAATGTTAGAACTTTTTTTTAAAGGAAAGTTTTTCTTGTGGAGATTCTTTGTGTCAACCCCTAAAATCCCATTTCTACCATTTTACCTCTGGCCATTACTTCCCTTAATCTTGACTATAATAATTGGCTCCTCTCCTTCTACTCTTTCCCTGTTAGGGTTTATTGAGTTCCTAGGCCACCCTGGCAGCAATATTTTGTAGCAAGTGAAGTTGCTGCCTTAGCTGGCAACTTCCTACTGTGACACATTTATGTTTGTGATAACATAATCTGTCCTGGACTCTGCCTGCCCACTTCTGTCCATCTTAGACTCTATCCATGAATTTAGGCTCTCAGTTTCAAACTGTTTTTTTCCCTGATTCTATATGGACTATTTTAGTCTGACTTCCCTCTTACTGACCCTCCAGTTCTTAACAGGATCTAAAGATGATTTCTCTGTTGCCACATCATGGCCTCTATACTCTATAATTATTGGTAGAAGGAGATTATTTCCTTGAAGTGTGGCCTGATTTTAACCTCTAGTTTATTTTAGCAATTTTGTATACCATCCCCGTCAGGAAGAATTGTCATCTTTGTATTCTTTAAAACTTTCTAATCTTCACAAACTCTAATCTTAAAAACTTTCTATGACATTTTGAGTGGGGTTAAAATATCATGGTTTAACATTAAAGGCTTTCCTCAATGTGGTTTAACAGTTTATATCCTTATTCCTGCCCAAATAAACCTAATGTTTACGGCAGGTTGAGATGCTCCCGTCTCCAAGAGACAGGAATGTTTTTATCTTGCACCGTTGCTACAGCTGTTTCACCCACCTGGAGTGTTTTCATTAACATCT